GCCGCCCACAAGGGGTGTCGAGAGTGGAGTCCAGTCAGTGTGTTTTCGCCCTGCAATACCAACTCAGCATTTTTATTATATTTTAAGAGACATATGCTTTGTTGTTTGCATATGGGGTTTTCTCAAACAAGGGTGAGGAATCGTCCGGCGGCGGTACTAAGAATCTGTTCGCCAGAGAGGACGAGCTTCCATCCTTGTGTTTTGATTGCTGTTACATTTACCGAGTGTTTATTCCTTGTGTAGTAATTGATCTAAGTAGACGAAACCCCTAGGGGTATTTTTTCTTTGTCTTCCGTTGCCCATCCCAATGGCTGGGCGTAATGGCTCTCCTTTTGAATGATGTTGAACCCAGAGCCAGCACATCCGCTGCCATCGGCTGGGGAGGCATGGAGTCCGAGTCCTTGGGCCGTACTGACACCGCCGAAGGCCCGGGGACTATGGAGGCCTTCGAGGAAGCCGAGCGCAGTCAGGCAGCGTTTTCCGAACTTACACAATCTAGCTTGCCTTCCCTGTTGGCAAGCGCTGCCGACTCCAGTCTCACCGCTACAAGGCACTTTATGTATGGAGAGGAATTCATGTCAACTGAACAGGCTAGGACCGACGTAGCAGGCTCACCGCCTTTGCCGCAGAAAAACAAGGTGGGACGTAGGGTGCCATCCCCCACCCTTATCGCTGCGATCCTCTTCTCCGTTACATGCTTGGGGTTGCTCACAGCCAGACCCCTGGCAGTATCTGGCATTTCAAGGTTAGAAATGGCACTTCACGGCCAGAAGAAGGTGCAGGAGACGCATCCGGTGGAGCAACAGGGGCAGCAAGAGAAGAAGCAGCAGGAACAGCAGACACATGAACAGCCGCAGCAACAAACGCAGCATCAGCAGTACGAGGGGAGAGGGGCTGAAGAGAGATTGCTGTTGCAGGATTTGGATTATGTGCAGGAGTTCGATTCCGTGGTTACCCTACTGGCTGAAACCTTGGGGGTTGGTGATGACCGTTCGCAGTCTGCTATTCAAGACGTTCGCAAGTCCTTAGACAGGGCCAAGGAGGTACAGAAGAAGGTCCTGGAGGGTTCTATAGGTCCGTCAGAGACGCCTGAGAGTNAGACAGGGCCAAGGAGGTACAGAAGAAGGTCCTGGAGGGTTCTATAGGTCCGTCAGAGACGCCTGAGAGTTTAATGCAGAATGCTTTGGACAGCAGCTTAGCTGCTGTGTCTCGGCTGTGTGAAACAGCCCGGAAACAAGCGCTGAGGATGGCGCGACAAACGGAGAATGTTCAGCCTCCTCCTGAAATTTCGTCTCAGGAGCTAGAGGCACTAGCACGTGTGGACTTAGAAGCCACAGATTCCCTCGCGTATCATATGGGGAATCTTATGTTTTCTTACCAGTCGTCTATGCGGCAGGCTTCAAGGGCTCAAGCAGATCTCAAGGTGCTAGCAGCAGGGACCGGCAAGAGCAAGGCGGTGCTATCTGCAGTTGCAACAGACGCAGAAATTCTGAAAGGAGCACTTGAAATTGCACAGGCGGGGAGACAGTCTACTGTTGACTTGACAGCTGCTGCAACTACGTTGATGCTGTCTCACGCCGTGCGGGAGCAAGCTTGCGTGCACAGGCAATCTCGAGATTTCCTGGAGGAGTGCAAAGCCATTTGCAGCA